GTTTAGAGTTTAGGGTTTAGGGTTTAGGGTTTAGGGTTTAGGGTTTAGGGCTTGGAACATTGGAACTGTGGGACTCTGCAAGGATTCTTACTAGCGGGGTCTAAGGGCCCCTATAAGGGGAACCTGGAAACCCTGTTTGTAGAGCCCTTACTCTTGGGCCCCTACAGAAAGCCCAGCACCACCCGTAATTTCAGAATATCTTACTTCAATATGAGGATCCCCCTACTATCATGTAAGGTATCAATTTTTGTTTAATGAAGGGCTGTTGGGCTCCCTCGTAATTAGTCTCCATCCCGAAGCCGTAGACTGTAAACCCCCACACTTGGTCAGGCTTGGATTCTGAGTCTCGCGCTCCCTTAAGATAAGCGAGTTTAGGAGTGCTCCGTTCGTTTACTAGCCTGTGAGCGTAAGGAAGAAGCCCCAAGCCTACAGTATGTTTGAACATGAGTCTTCTGAATCTTGTTATTCTATTTCCGTGCATTTGATAGTTAGTATATATGTTACATTAGTAGTGTCCATGTAGCACATTATGATGAATGAAGTGCCCATGTGAATGGAAGGCGCGAATTATGCCGAATAATCCCTAAGCCAACCTTAAACCCTAAACCCTAAATCCTAAACCCTAAACCCTAAGCCCTAAGCCCTAAGCCCTAAGCCCCAAACCCCACTCGACCTCGACAGGAGCAGCGGCAGGCTCTGGAAAAGGCCCTGGAGAGCCAGCGCGAGGTGGGCAACCAGGGGCTTCCTCCCAGACGGAGAGTTGGATACCTTATTGGGTTTAGGGTTTAGGGTTTAGGGTTTAGGGTTTAGGGTTTAGGGTTTAGGGGTTAGTATAGAATCCCTGAAAGGAGTTATCTGGGGGGACATAGGGTGCCTTAAGTGCCAGGGTTGATTGAGGGCACAGGGCTTTGGGGTTTAGAGTGTTCAGGGTTAAGGGTTTACAGGGTTCAGGGCCTGCAGACCACAGGGCTTGATTGTAGGGTTCAGGGTTAGCAAGGCAGAGGCTTGTAGGATTTACAGGTTCCGGATTTAGGGCTTATAAAAATTGCAGGGTTCAGGGGTTCAGTCATGATGGCCCTTATCCCAACAACGCCGCGAACCTGCAACCCTAAACCCTAAACCCGATTCCTTGGCGCGGGAGTGAGGTGGATGCAGCGCCAGCGCCCGAGGCGACCCACCGCGCTCTGGCCATTAAGCCCGACTTCGCGGCACGTGCCTACGCTTCAGATAGGATTGGTGGTTGGGGTTTATAGCGTTTCGGGTCAAGGGTTTGGGGTTCAGGGCAAGTGTAGGGTTTAGGGTTTAGGGTTTAGGGTTTAGGGTTCAGGGCAGCTTGAGGGTTAGGGTTTGAGGCTTAGGGCTTTGGTTGAGCCCCACGCCCAAACTCGAAGCCCCAACCACTAGTTCGACAGGGGGGTATACGAAAATAGGGGAGCCCCCGAAATAGTAGGATTCCCTGCTAATAAGGACCCCAAGAAGCCCGAATTTCGGAAACCCCCCCATGTGCATCTTACCTTCTGGAGCTTAAGATGATGTGGTTCTGTGGGATTCGTAGTGCGAAAGCAACCCTAAACCCTAAACCCCTAAACCCCTAAACCCCTAAACCCCTAAACCCGTAAACCTGTAGGAATATTTTCAAAAGGGGGCCCAAGAGGGCGAGGGGGTTCAGGATGCTTAAGATCTACGGGCTTCAAGGGTATATGAGCCTCAACCCTGAACCTTAGAACCCAGGAATTTAGGGCCTTATACCTGCCTAATGAGCCTCAACCCTGAAACCTTAAAACCCAGGAATTTAGGGCCTTATACCTGCCTACTTTGCACCTACTACGTTCCTGGCGTTTTCTGCTTGTACAACCTTAAAACCCAATTTAGGGCCTCATACCTGCCTACTTTACACCTGCTACGTTCCTGGCGTTTTCCCTTTTTGTAGCTTCTTACAAGATTTCCTTTCCACAAGATTTCCCTTTAGGATTTGCTGAACTCTGGAACCCCAGCAGAGGCAGACCATGGCAACGTGTCTGAGCAGGTGACGCCAGCATGCTGAACTGGTTCCTGGATTACGCGGAAGGCTTGCTCTGCGACGTGCTCTGCTTTCTGGATGGGCTTTCCCTGGCGCGCTTGGAGTGCGTCGGACGGTGGCTGTGGCAGCAGCGATCACTGACTCGGCTGGAATAGGTATCTGCAGCAGGGTTTATATTATTACTGTTATTTGTGAGTGGACATAAGGTTCCTTTTTCATGTTGGGTGAGTGCGTATATTGGGCGTCTTTTTGGGGATACAAGAATATGAACCCTACTTCATCAGAGTGGGTACCACAGCGGAAACGATAGTGAGTAAGCACATGGTGGTGGGCCAGAAATGGGTGGCGGCCGTGAGTAGGTTGCGGGGTATGTAGAAGACTGATAGGATACCGCGAAAGAGCACAGGCGAAGGGTGTTGTTGGAGTCTCTTGGACATTGCAAGTGCAGCATCAGGTTTATGTCGTTTACAGTCTGCAGCCCATCTAACTTAACCAGGAGTTAGATGGGCTGCAGACTCTTACTCTACCACAGCGCTAGCTTCCTAGCCTTCGGAGCCTTCGCACGCGAGCCGACAGGGCTCGGGGCCTCTACGAGGGAAGAGTTGAGGGGAGCGTGGGATGGGAGTGGGAATTGAGAGCAGCAGCTTGAAGCCAAAGTTGCGAAAGAGACTTCCCCGGTGCGTGTTAAACTTAAGCCTGGCTCAGACTAACCTAACCAGGGTTTAGGGTTTAGGGTTTAGGGTCTAGGGTTTAGGGTTTAGCCCTTTACCCTGGACTCTAAAGCTTTCGTGAGGCTTGCAATGATATAGAAACAGCCCCCACGAGCCTGGAAGCCAATCTGTCCCCCTCGCATCCTCATGCCAACCTTCGCCCTGGCCCTATAGCCCTATACCCACCCCGCAAAGTTTTTAACACCCGCCAATTCTCGAAGTTCCTAAGCCCTGCAACTCCCCCTCCCTCCACCCCCCTCCCTCCACCCCTGAACCCCATAAACACCCTAAACCCTAAACCCTAAACCGACAAAGGTGGCCGAATCGGCTCTTCACTACCAGCCTTCCCGGGGCGTGGCGCTTTGTGCACCTCTGCCACTCGGCTTGCAGGTTTTGGTGGGCTTAGGGTTTAGGGTTTAGGGTTTAGGGCTTAGGGCTTAGGGCTTAGGGCTTACGGCTTACGGCTTAGGGCTTAGGGCTTAGGGTTTGGGTGGGCTTAGGGTTTCTGGGGCATAAGGTGTAGGACGTGGGGTTGAGTTCTCAACAAGCGAATAGGTCAGATGAGGAGTTGCGCGCCGGTTCCCTTCCCGCAAGCCCCCCCAACGTGAAGCCCATCGAAACCCCATCCCCGAGCCCACAAGAACCCCAACCCCATGCCCCAAACCCTATAGCGCTCGCTAAACTCCTAAACTCCTAAACTCCTAAACTCCGAATCTTCTAAACTCCTAAACTCCTAAACTCCTAAACTCCGAAACTCCGAAACTCCTAAACTCCTAAACTCCTAAACTCCTAAACTCCGAAGCTCCTAAACTTCTAAACTCCTAAACTCCTAAACTCCTAAACTCCTAAACTCCTAAACTCCTAAACTCCTAAACTCCTAAACTCCTAAACTCCTAAACTCCTAAACTCCTAAACTCCGAAACTCCTAAACTCTAAACCCTAAATCCTAAACCCCTAAACTTCATACCCCACCGCGCAACCCCAAGCTCGGTGGCATCCCCAAGCCCTATATACACTTGAGCCCCAAACCCGAAAGCCACCCCCTAACTCCTGGCATGAACAACCCTGAGCCAAACCCCGAAACTCCAAACTTGCGCCTTTACCTCACAATGAGCCTCGGAGCCCTAAAAAGCCCTGCACACCCTTAACACCCTACAAGCCTGTAGCTCGATAACATCCAATAAGACCAATAAGACCAAAAAGAACCTAAACCCTAAACCCTAAACCCTAAACCCTAAACCCTAAACCCTAAACCCTAAACCCTAAACATACAAGAGGCAGTCTGGGGGGCCGGCCCCCGCGGACCCTCAGCCGCGACCCGAAGCCGCGGACCAAGGGCCGCAGCGGCGTTTGGAAGCAGTTTCGGGGCTCGCAACTGAGGGGTTTAGGGTTTAGGGTTTAGGGTTTAGGGTTTGGGGTCTGGGGTTTAGGGTTTCGGGTTTAGGGGCTCTTAGGTTCTTAGATGGTTTTTCGGGCGATCAGGGCTCTAGAGTTCTTGGGGTTTTGGGTTTTAAGGGCTTTCCGGCTGTTTGGGACCCTAAACCCTAAACCCCAAACCCTAAACCCCTAAACCGATTTCTGTGGTTTGCTAGGTTGCTAGGGGCTTTTGGGCTTTCAGGTGCTTAAGGGTTTGGAACTTTTCTCGGTTTTGGCTTGTAGGCGTGCAGACCCTCAAACCCCATAAAGAACTGGAAAGCCCCAAACCCCAAACCCTAAGCCCTAAACCCCAAACCCCAAACCCCAAACCCTAAACCCCAAACCCCAAACCCTCAGGCCTAAACCCCAAACCCTAAACCCTAAGCCCTGAGCCCTAAACCCAAGCCCTATACCCAACCATAAACTCTAAGGGTGGAACCACGGGCCCTTAGCAGGGCCCCTTACCCTGGTTCAAAGGGATTGAAAGGGGTCCGAAGAATGAGCCCTTACTATGTGTTGAACTCAGCCTGTGGCCCTTAAGGCAGGCGCGTCCGCCCTGGTGAGTTTGGTGCTCTCCTGCTGATCTCCCAGGGTTGGGGTGGGCACATGTTTTGTTTGGTTGGTTCCTTGTTTTTAGGTGGGCAATAACAGGTTAAGAGCCTTGGCGAGCACTGCTTGATTATGTCTGCTCGTCATTTGCCATGGTTCGTCTCTCTTTGTCTGAGCCGTCCTGGGTCCTGGTAGGACGTTAAATAAGGCCTATGGACCGTCTTCCCGAGGACGTTAACAGCGGTGGCTTTTCCCCGGTTGCATCCGGGCCGTCCCGGGCCCTGGTAGGACGTTAAACAAGGCCTATGGGCCGTCTTCCCGAGGACGTTAACAACGGTGGCTTTTCCCCGGACTTTGGGAAGACTGTTTGGCACATGGCGGTTGGATTGATCTTGGGTTGGTGGTGTTGCCGGTTAAGCATGCGCTTGCAATATTTCTTCGGCAGGCCCCCCTGGCAGGCCCCCTGGACTTTAAGCTGTCTACTGCAAGCCGTGCTTCCTGCCCTCTCCTTCGCTGCTTCCGTGCTCCACCATCTGGTGGGTGCGGATTGCCTGCTCCGCCGCGCGTGCGGGGGCCATGCTGCTGCACCGCACTTGTGCAAGCAGGTGCGGGCGGTGGCGCCCTCGTGCTGCTCCTCATCCTGGTGTTGTTGCCAGGCTCTGAGGGTGGGGGGTTTTGGGCCTGGCAGCTTGCGTCAAGGAAGGTGCCCTCAGGCTTCGTTCGTTGGGCCACTCGTCTCGTGGCAGGGGGTGTTGAACTCAGCCTGTGGCCCTTAAGGCAGGCGCGTCCGCCCTGGTGAGATTGGTGCTCTCCTGCTAATCTCCCAGGGTTGGGGTGTGCACATGTTGTTTTGTTTGGTTGGTTCCTTGTTTTTAGGTGGGCAATAACACTATGTATAGTGTATTTAAGGGATATATAACAAGGGACCCAAGTTAAGGGCCCATACTTCGGATCCCCTAAAAACCCTAAACCCTAAACCCTAAAACCCTAAACTCTTTTAAACCCCAAACCCTGCACCCCGAACCCCAAACCCTAAACCCCAAACCCTAAACCCCAAACCCCAAACCCTAAACCCTAAACCCCAAACCCCAAACCCGTAACCAAAGGTACTGGCTGGGCCGCCGGCAACTCCTCCGGGAGTCGGATGGTGTACAGCGGCAGATCGCCTTTGAGCAAGCGAGGCCCAGAAAGTTCCCAAGACCTTGAGGATTAGGGTTTGGGGTTTGGGGTTTGGGGTTTAGGGTTTAGAGAACCCAAAACCCTAAATCCCTAACTCTCAAAACCGTAACCCCTAAATTCCCTCCCAACAGAATCCTTAATCCCCAAATACCCCCAAAAGCCCTAAATCCCCAAAACCCTAAGCCGCAAGTGGTTGCTGCATTGCGTGGGGTTTGGGGATGACAGGGCTTGGGGTTTCAGGATTTTCCAAAACCCTAAACCCTAAACCCCAAACGCCCCAAACCCCAAACCCCAAACCCTAAACCCCAAACCCTAAACCCGAAACCCCAAACCCTAAACCCTAAACCCCAAACCCTAAACCCTAAACCCCAAACCCTAAACCCTAAACCCCATTGGAAGCCAGGCTCCTGCTCTCCGCCAATGCGCACGCGGTGGTGCAGCCCATGCCACCTGCCGTTTCATCCCTGAGCCCTGCAGGGTTTAGGGTTTAGGGTTTAGGGTTTAGGGTTTAGGGTTTAGGGTTTAGGCTTTAGGGTTTAGGGTTTAGGGTTTAGGGTTAGGAAGTAGGATTTAGGGTCCCTAAGCCTTAAGACCTCAAGGGTCGCCATAGAGGGGCGGGGCGCCTAGGGTTCGTAGGCCCTCAGCCCCCCCAAGCTTTTTTGACATGTTTGGGGGTTCGTGGCATGTCCCTGAACCAGACCCTCAACCGATACGTAAGCCTACAAGACTCCTGCAAGCCTTACCAACCGTAGAAATCCTGGAAAGTCGAGCCCTAGACCCTACACTACACCGTAAGCCCCAAAAGTTATGCGCAAAGCGATCTGGGCCGGCTTTGCACCCAAAACCCCTACGGCCCCAACACCCTCGCACCCAACAGCCCTCCTGCAGTAGGCCCTCAACCCTAAACCCTAAACCCTAAACCCTAAACCCTGAACCCTGAACCCTAAACCCTAAACCCTAAACCCTAAACCCTAAACCCTAAACCCTTAACCCTAAACTGAACCCCTAAACTTTAAACCCTATGCCCTCAGCGATTCTTCGAAGCCCAGGAAGCCCAACCCCCGCCTGTTGCGTCGCGTGATCGCCTACTGCCTGCCTGAGGGCTTCAGCCAGGTGCGGGGGACGTCTGGGCTTTTGGGGTGCAAGGGTTTAGGGTTTAGGGTTAAGCGGTTTAGGGTTTAGGGCTCAAGGGTTTAGGGTTTAAGTTTAAGGGCTTTGGGTTTAGAGGGTTTTAAGCTTTGCAGGTTTGGGGGCAAAGGGTTTTAGGGCCTCTTTCTCTCATTTTCTCTTTTTTGAACTCTCTCTCTCTCTCTGCATATATATATATATGCATACATATACATATCTACATCTGTATCTATGCTCTATAAAGTGGCAACACAGTTCTCAGTTCTTGGGCTTCAGTGTGGAGCCCGAAGGCTATGGATGGAGCACCGTACGCAATATGCCACCACCAGTCAGGAAGTCATAGGGTCTTTAAGGGAGGTGGGAGGTTTAGGGTTTAGGGTTTCGGGTTGAGGGTTTGGGGTTTAGGGTTTAGGGTGAGGGGGGGATGGCTGGTATTCGCGGTGCCTTAGGGCTGCGTGGTTCACCGACAAGACATACACTGAGTCATACGATCGTGTGCTTCCTGTTTATCTTGTTCTTCTGCTTCTTTCATCGGTAAACCTTATAGGCCCTGAACCATCAACCTCTTCGTCGTTGTGCCGCTGTTCCTTAGGACTTCCGTCATAAGCCCGAAGAGACGAGCCCATTGCTACTAGGGTTTAGGGTTTAGGTGTTCGGGTACACAGTCGAAACCTTACAGCCTTACACATCCCTAAATACACCCTAAACCCTAAACCCCTAAACCCTAAACCCTGTGATCCCCTTGGAGCGAGGACCCTCGCTTTGGACCACTAGAGGAACGATGGTGCACCCACCTCATGGCATCTGGGCGCATTTTTTGGGGTTGTGGCGGATGGTGTAGGTCTTAAGAAGAAGGGCTTGGGGTTCTTTGTGGGTTTAGAGTTTTAGAGTGTAGAGTTTAGAGTTTATGGGTATGTAAGGGTTATTTGTTGCTTAGCTTTCGGTTGGTTGGGTGGAGATAACTGCTCAGCAGCCTGGGTTTCGGGGACATTGGGGCGATTTCCCTCGCCTCGCTTCCGCCACCTCGCAACCCAAAACAAGATGCCCTTAAGACCCTATAAGCCTCCAAAGGTCCTTCAGACCCTGAAGCCCCAATGCCCTACCTTAAGACCCTAAAACACCCTTAAGACCCTCAAGCCGCTGAAGCCCGTTGTGACTCTAAAGCCCCTAAACCCCAGAAGGCCCCAACCCCCGAAGGGCCCTGAAGAACCCTAAACCCTAAACCCTAAACCCTAAACCCTAAACCCTAAACCCTAGACCCTAGACCCTAAACCCTAAACCCTAAACCCTAAAGCCCGAACGCCCCCTCAAAAAAATGAGCAGAGGTGGGCGCCGAGTCCATGGTGACCCATGCCAATGGGGCAGCTTTGCTGCAAGTGTTCCCTCTGCCCCCCGTATCCTAGGTTTAGGGTTTAGGGTTTAGGGTTTAGGGTTTAGGGTTTAGGGCTTAAGTGCTTAAGTGCTTAAGTGCTTGAAGGCTTAAGGGGTTTAAGGGGTTGAAGGGGTTTGACATCCGCAGCTTGGGGGGTGTAACTTACAGAGCCAGCCGATGAAACCTTCGGCTTGCTTGGGGCACGCCTTCTTTGGTAGGAATGAGAAGGTTTAGGGTCTAGGGTTTAGGGGTGTAGGGTGTAGGGTTTAGGGACCCTAAACCCTAAACCCTAAACCCTAAACCCTAAACCCTAAACCCTAAACCCTAAACCCTAAACCCTAAACCCTAAACCCTAAACCCTAAACCCTAAACCCTAAACCCTCAAGGTTTGACCTTTTGAGTCCTTGGCTGTTGGAGAAGTATGTCAAGGGGTTTAAGGGTGTCAGGTTTAGAGTGTAGTAACGGAAGCCCTAAACCCTAAACCCTAAGCCCTAAACCCTAAACCCTAAACCCGAAACGCTGACCCAGAGCCCCTGAAGCCCTAACCCGAGGTGCAGACGAACCACGAGCAGTTTTACATGTCCTGGTCCGTCTGCCTCCCGGCTTTAGAATGTGCCCGTTGTGCATCGAAGGCTTCCGGCTGAACAAGAACCCGGCAATTAGTCGTCATTCCCTCTTTCTTGGAGTACCCAACCCTAAGCTTGAACAACCCTGAGAATCTTAAAACACGACATACAAATTCTACAGGCCCTCAAAGCCCTGAACAGCCCATGATTGCTCTCTAAACCCTAAACCCTAAACCCTAAACCCTAAACCCTAAACCCTAAACCCTAAACCCTAAACCCTAAACCCTAAACCCTAAACCCTGCAAAGCCGAGGCTTCTCAGCAGCGCAGGGTCTTCCGAGGCCAAGGGCGCCCGCAATGACCGCCTTAAGCAAGGGTTTAGGGTTTAGGGTTTTGGGTTTTGGGTTTAGGGTTTCGGGTTTCGGGTTTCGGGACCTCAGGAACTTTAGGGACTGGGTTGAGGCTTCTTCAGGGGCCTGAGGGGTGGGAAAGGCGATTCAGGACTTTTCCAGGAACTTGAAGGCTGCAGGTAAAGAGAGTCAGCTTCTAGGGTTCAGGGTCCGGGGTTCAGGGTTTAGGGTTTAGGGTTTAGGGTCTAGGGTTTAGGGTTTAGGGTCTAGGGTTTAGGGTTTAGGGCCCAGATGCCCAAAGCCCCAAACCCGAAAACGCCAACCCTAGACCCTTAAACCCTTAAACCCTAAACCCTAAACCCTAAACCCTAAACCCTGTAGGCTTTTCCTGGCCTCGGCGCGATTCAGCGAACAGGATGCGTGGGAGGCCCTGGCAAGGGAGGGTTGGGTGTTTTGGTCTCGGCACTCAACCCCCTCAACCGCCCTGAAACCTTCTGGGACTTTCCTGAAACCCAACAGTCCTCAATGGGGGTACTATGGTCCCTATTAAGGACTGTGAGTATAAGAGTGAACATTCCAAGTTCAGGGTAGGGTTTAGGGCAGTTTCCGGAAGCCCTGGACCAAAACCGTCAAGCACAAGAGCCTTTGCCGAAAACCCAACCCTCAAACCCTACAAGCCCTACAGCAGATTGCAGGAAGGTCCAGGAAGGTCTCAGCGGGGGTCCCAGGGGGGTCCTCTGGACCTAAAGTCCTAAACCCTGAACCCTAAACCTACCATGAACCACGTCAGAACCCTAAAGCCCATGATTTACCCAAAAACTAGCCTACCCACCCCCCGCACCCCCCCAAGCAAGAACTGCAAGAGAAGAACCCTAATAACCCTAATAACCCTAAGAACCCTAAAAACCTTAAACAAAAACCCCCTCCAAAACACCCGAAGAACCCCTAAACACCCTACACCCAACCCCCCCCCCCCCCCCCCAAAAAAAAAAAAAAAAAAACCTAAGAACCCTAAACAACAACACACTCAAACGCCCCCCTCTTGGGGGGGGAAGGTGGACCTCGCAGAGTGTCGGCTGCCACCAAGGGCTCCATTGGCCTGGGCCGCTGCGGCCCAGGCGCCGAGAGGGCTGAGTTTTTTTGTTCTTGTTCTTGTTTCTGACTTTATTGTTAGTTTTTTGTTTGTGTCTTTTGTTTCCTCGTTTTGTTTTGTTAGGTCATTTTTAGGTGGTTTCGTTTTGTCTTTTTGTTTTGGTGTTTTTTTTTTTTTTTGGGGGGGGGGGGGGGTGGGGGTGGGTGTTTTTTGTTTTTGTTTGAGTTTGGGGGCTTTGGGTTTTGTTGCGAGGGCTTGGGGGCTTGTTTTTTGTGGGGCTTTAGGGGTTTCAGAGTTTTTGGGCAGCTTGTCCCAGAAATTTAGAGTCCTAAGCCTCCAAACCTCCCGAACTACGCATGAATACTCCCCCCCCTCCCTCCACACCCTACTGACAAAGACCCTAAACCCCCCCTGAACCCTAAACGCAAGGAGATTCACGAGCTCCGCGCGGCCGGGCGTGACGTGAGCGCCGGGCTGTGCGATGCGCGGGAGCTTTGCTCGGTACGGTGCCTTGGTTGCAGGATTCACATTCCAAGCCTAAGACCCCTGTTTAGGGTTCAGCGTTTAGGGTTAAGGGCTACTAGGACCCATTCAGAGTAGGCCCTTATTCCCGTTGTTAGGGTTTAGAGTTTAGGGTTTAGGGTTTAGGGCTACAGGACCCAGTTTAGGGCTTTATTTCCTATTTTTAGGGTTTCGGTTTAGGGGTATGAGCACTTCAAACCAAAAAGGTCATTCCTAGGTTACTCTTGGGTCTAGAATCCGAACCAACTTCTACCTAGAGGGTTTGGGGTAAAGGGCTTGGGGTTTTAGACCCGGATGCCCTTTGCGTGGTGAAGATAGGTTGAGATGTTCCCCCTTAATGCCCAATACGGATTGTTTGTTTTGGGGTGAACATCCCAAAATGTAGGCGTTAAGCCATATCGGGGCCTTTTTCAGTAAAAATGGGTCTTTGGTTTCTTTGGATTCCCGGCTCCGAACCTTCCATCGCATCAATCCCCGAAGGCCGAAAGCCCCAAATGAACCCCCCCCCCCAAAAAAAAAAAAACAAAAAAACCCAACGTAGCGCCCATCTGAAGGAGCCCCATGAAACCCATCTCCCGAGACTGACCCCGCCTAAACCCTAAACCCTAAACCCTAAGCCTGAAACCGTGGACCCAGGTTTCAAGGCTCTCGGTGGACGCTTGGTCGCAGTGCTTCGGGCCACTGGCGGGCCGAGCGCACTTTCTTTCTTTCACGGTCTACCTGGGACTGTTTTGTAGTAACTGCCCCTGAATTAGTAGGTATAACTGTATAACCCATTAAACTTTTGGACTGTGGGCACAGAGAGAGTCCCAGGTAGGGTTTAGGGTTTAAGAACCCAACGCAGTAAACCCTAAACCCTATAACTTAAACCCCCTGGACAGACCAGGCAGGTGCAAACGGCACAGCTGGCGCCGGCTGAAGATTGGGCACTCCTACACAAGGACCTCCCGTTGGGGGGTTTTGGGTTTAGGGTTTAAGTTTTAGGTTTTAGGGTTTAGGTTTAGGGGGCCGGGAGGATGACGGGTGCTGGGTTTCTTTGGGGGTTTCAGGATAAGGGGTGCCGATTTTGGGTGCGGGTTTGAGAGGTTTTGAAGAGATTCTGAAGAGGTTTGAAGAGGTTTGCAAGGTTTTGGAGCGTAGAACACTCGGTCTTCCCGTGCCTTTCCACCCGCAGCGCATTGGCGCCTAGCCCCACCGCCACACAGAAGGTATAATGTTGAAATAAATATTCCCGAACCCTAAGCCCTGAACCTAAGCCCTTCCCCCTCCCCCACCCCCCCTTTCCCCAACAAATCATACTTATGGGGTCCTTAGTGGAGGGGGGTTCACCTAGGGAACCTCCCTTAAGAGCCCTAAAAATTCCAAAACAACCCTAAACCCAAAACCCCAAACCCTAAACCCGAATTCCTAAACCCTAAACCCTAATTCAACCCCAAACCCCGCTGGAGCACCCCTCCCCTTACGAGCCCTACAAGATTCCCAAACATCAGCAGGATCTCTTCGGCTGCCCTTTGGAGGGTCGGGGCCCAAAACCTGCGGGGAGCACACGGATGTTTTCGGGATTCGGGGGTTCAGGTCGAGGGTGTTAAGGGTTTTAAGGGTGTTTTGGGTTGTCTTTCAGGTTGCTTTTTTTGGGGTTTTAGGGGTTAGGGTTTTTAGGGTTTCGTAGGGCTTGGGGGCTTTGGGGTTTCGGGTTTGCAGTTCGCACTGTGCACAGGGTTATACGGCTTCGTCCCTAAACCCTAAACCCTAAACCCTAAACCCTAAACCCTAAACCCTAAACCCTAAACCCTAAACCCTAAACCCTAAACCCTAAACCCTCCGAGGTGGGCCCGAACGCTGCGTGCGGCTGCTCCTTGCGCTCTCGTGCCCCAACCCCTTCGCGCAGGAGCCACCGAAGCGGGGACCTCGGTCGCGGGCTTTTGTGGGGTTTAGGGTTTAGGGTTTAGGGGTTTTAGGGGTTTTAGGGGTTTTAGACAGGTTTCAGGGTCTTGGGTCTTGGGCCGACCTAGGGGTTTATCATTTTGGAAGCCCCCAGCCCTACAACCCAACGCGCCCGAAGCCCTGTACAGCCCCAGAGCCTGTTCGCACACCTCTACAAAGCTATCCCAACTCTCCGACCTCTGACCCTTAAACTCGGACTTCCGCGTAGGCCTGGGGATGTTTTAGGGTTTAGGGTTTAGGGTTTAGGTTTTAGGGTGTTCCCCGTATACTAACAGTCCTTAATAGGGACTATAGTCCCTCCCCCCCTATGACCCTATGAAGGACTGCAAGTAAAAGGGGGAACATCCCAAGAGTAGGCCCTTCTTCCCTGTTGTTTGAGATTAACTTTCCCTTCTATAAAAGGCGCGCCGTGGGATGCCCAGGATTCTCTTGGGTCTAGCAGTTAAAACCTATAAACCCTGTAGACCCTGCGATCCCAGAACGTTTTGAAGGGTTTGGGTTGGAGGGTTTAGGGTTTGTGTCGCTGCAACCCCAAACCCCAAACATCCCTACACACCACTTGGTAGGTAACTGGTACCCTTTTGCCTGTTTGTTGGTTCTAGGATTCCTTTTCAAGTAACCCTAAAGTAAACCCCAAAGCCGAAAGCCTAAACCCTAAACCAAAAGGGTACCCCTGCTACAACATGCTTGCTGGCCTACCCACGCCGGCCAAAGCCCCGAAACCATACGAGCCCTTAACCCTAAGCCCAACACCCCAGACCCCAGACCCCAAACCCCAAACCCCAAACCCCAAACCCTAAACCCCAAACCCCAAACCCCAAACCCTAAACCCTAAACCCTAAACCCCCCTTATGTCCCAGGTTGGAGATGGCGCTGAACGCGCTGCGGCCCTGGCTGGAGCCCCGAAACCCGGACTGAGCTCGCGCGGGCGGAGACCGAGCGCCTTGGTGGGCTCTTGGCAGAGTTTAGGGTTTAGGGTTTAGGGTTCGCCAGCGCAGCGTGGCGCCCAAGTCAACTCTTCTGTAGGTGGCTGCCCTGGTGCCTAAACAACTTTTTACGGCGAAAAGTTTTCGAGAGGCTAAAAATCTTTTTGTACCGCGATCTAGAAGACCCAAAATTGGCTTCAGAAGGCCAAAATTGGCTTCAGAAGCCTTCCAAAGGCCCAAAATTAGCCCAAAATTGGCTTCAGAAGCCTCAGAAGCCCAAAATTAGCTTTAGAAGGCCCACAATTGGCTTCAAGCACAAAATTAGCTTTAGAAGCCCAAAATTAGCTTCAGAAGGCCAAAATTGGCTTCAGAAGCTTCAGAAGCCCAAAATTGACTTCAGAAGGCCAAAATTGGCTTCAGAGGGCAGAATTTGCTCCAGGCCCAAATTGGCTTCAGAGGCCCAAATTGGCTTCAGAAGGCCCGAATGCCAAAATTTGCTTCAGAGGCCCTTGTTTCAGAAGGCCCAAAATGGCCCAAAATTGGTTTCAGGCCAAAACTGGCGTCAGAGGCCCAAATTAGCTTCAGAAGGCCCAAAATTGGCTTCAGAAGGCCCGAATTGGCTTCAGAAGGCCCGAATTGGCAACGGAAGTTGCCTTCAGAGCCCCAAATTCGTTCAAAAAGGCCCACCAGCAAAGAGCCCGAAAAGGCACGGGTGGCTTTCAAACCTCCAAAGTGCTGAAATGTTCACTCTTCTTGAACCTCCTTGCCCTGCACAGGCACAAAGCCCAAAAGTCTTCTTTGTTCGATTTACTTAAACCTCCTCGCCCACGCAACCGCAAAGCAACTGACGACAACTCAACAAAGAGTTGCGCTGGCGCAAGCCCCTAAAAGTTTAGGGTTATAGGCCTATAGGATTTTAGGGTTAGGGTTCTATAGACCCAACAGAAGCCCAAAAAACCCTCTACGCCCTATAAACCCTGCTTTCTATAAACGCTAAACTGAGGATTATCTTCCCATCTATGGAAACGCCACAAAGACAACATCTTAAGAGGGACCCTAAACCCTAAACCCTAAACCCTAAACCCTAAACCCTAAACCCTAAACCCTAAACCCTAAACCCTAAACCCTAAACCCTAAACCCTAAACCCTAAACCCTAAACCCTAAACCCTAAACCCTAAACCTTAAACCCATCCCAGGGTAAGAGGGGCCCAGGTGCGCCCTGAACTTCACCCCGGAGCAGAGCGAGCAGCAGCCATCGTCTGGAGATGCCCGCGGTCGACATGTTCCTCTCAGGGAAACCCGGGAGAGCCACAGTACCAGGATGAGCTACTATGCCCTAGAATCCCTTAAAAGGCCCTTTAAAGGGTTCATCATGGGGATTTTAAGGCCCACTAGCCCATGCTGGTAGTTTCAGTTTGGGGGCGTGGCGCTGCCTTGTTGCGCGCTGGAGCCGGAGCAGGGGTGCGATGGAGATGGCCGCGAAGCTTTGGGGGAAGACGCAGATGCTCGCCGCCCTCGTGCGCATCGCCAAGGAGGACTTGCAAGCAAGCGGCGCCCAGAAAGCCCCGGTAACCCTGCTAGCCCCTGGAGATGCCAAGACGGCATCCCATCGGGCAGTTGCCTGAATTGCACTGCGAAGCTGCGGACAAGAAAAGCCGAGTCGCGGGGAGTTGGGTGCAAGACTTATGGACTGGGTAGGAAACCTTTAACCGTTTTGGTTACATATAAAGCCCTACTACATATAAACGGTTAACCTTTCCGGGCTCGGGTGTTCAGCTTAAGCCAAGTATTCCCTAAAGCCTCAACACCCTGAAGTCCCCTTTGAGAACCTAAAAACCCAAACCCGAAACTGTAAATTGCTGCAAAGCCTAGAAGAGGGGCCCTCGGAACCCACCCTAAACCCTAAACCCTAAACCCCTAAGCCCCTAAGCCCCTAAGCCCCTAAACCCCTAAGCCCCTAAATCCCTAAACCCCTAAGCCCCTAAATCCCTAAACCCCTAAACCCCTAAACCCCTAAACCCTAAATCCTAACGAAGTCTCTGCAGGAGATCTATGCCAAGAAGCTCCACCTGCCCCTGGCCGAGCAAAACTACGACCCGATGATCCCATACATGGCACCATTCATTGAGGCAAGAGGCGTTTGCTTTACCCTAAACCCTACACCCTAAACCCCCAAACCCTCTCACGGTCAGGGGCGGGTTGGGGGGGGAGCCTTTTTTTTGTGTTTAACCGCTTGTTTTGCGAGTCTAGCAACATGATTGCAACAGCCATTTCCAGAGTATGAACAGCAGGAACAAAGGGCAATAAACAATCTTTTAGCTATGGCTTTAGAACTATACTCAATTACTGACTAGAAGAAATAAGAAAAAATAGTTCATAGTTCCGAATTCTATCGCAACTATTACATATGTGCATACCTATATATATATATATATATCCACCCAACGACATTCTTGTATATTTGCACATTGTGTGTATATATGGGTTTGTGTTTTTTGGGGGGCTCAGGTTTAAGAAGGGCACACGGGTTGCACACCCTCGAAACATACCCCGTAACATACCCCGAAACATACCCCCGAAACATACCCCGTAACATACCCCCGAAATTGCAGGCAAAGTAGCTCATGATGCCGCGAAACATACCCCCGAAACATACCCTGAAACATACCTCGAAACATACCCGCGAAACATACCCCGACCCCAACACGTGTCGCGCGCCTCCCCATTAACATACAAACCCATATATATATATATATCTATATCTTGGTAGTTGTTTCAGTGTAAAACTTTAGGGTTGCTTTGGAGGGGGGGGAGGGAGGGGGGGGCAGGGGTGGGGGAGGGGGGTGGGGGGAGGGGGGTGGGGAGAGGGGGGTGGGGAGAGGGGGGTGGGGACCCTAAACCCTAAACCCTAAACCCTGAACCCTGAACCCTAAACCCTAAACCCTAAACCCTAAACCCTAAACCCTAAGCCCTAAGCCCTAAACCCTAAACCGGGTTTTGTCGGGCTTGGGGAAAGTTGCTCCGCAGTCAGGAAGCCAAGTTTCAGCTGCAGGAGGAGCAGGAGACCCCATGGGCCACACGCGGAGCTGTGGTTCAGGGTTCAGGGTTTAGGGTTTAGTTTTTTTTTTTTTTTTTTTTTTTTTTTTTTTTTTTTTCTGGTGTAGGGTTTAGGGTTTAGGGATGAGGGTTGGGATGTTCCCCCTAAAGCGATAAGAACCCTGTAACCCCGCGGCACTGTACCACTCCTGTGCTGCTTCTAGCAGCATTCTTGGATGAGGCTCCCTCTTCTGAGATCTTCTGAGGTACCCTGCACAAGGGAGCTTAAGCCCGAAACCCTAAACCCTAGACCCTAAACCCTAAATCCTAAATCCTAAACAAGCAACTCTTAAGTCAACATCTTTTGACATACAAGAGAACAAGGCCATTGCTCACCCTCAACGCCCCGAAGCCCTGAACCCAAAACCTCGATGTCAACACTGTGTAATTCTTGATATTCTTAACAGTGTTGTACCGTATCTGCTGCAAATATACATACATTTTGGAACTCAAAAAGAATGAATAATGAACAATCAATGTATGTAGCTCGCCCCCCCCAAGATCTACGTTTACAGGTTTCCAGAACCCAAAAAGTCAAACAAAACAACCACCAAAATCAGGATGCCAAAAAGCCCACACAGAGACACGCAAAAAAAGAAACATTATTCTGAGACTCTTCGAAAGGTGAAACCAACACAACCCACAAACACAAAAAAAAAGGATTATTCCGAGACTCTTGGGCAAAGGGAATGACGTCAAGAGGTTGGAAAAATGTATATATATATATATGTATATCTATATATATATATACATACATACATACATACATACATACATTGTTTTTGGTTTGGGTTGGCTTGGTGTCACCTTTCCAAGAGTCTCAGAATCCTCTTCTTGTGTTCCCCACCCTCGGTGTGGGGTTGTCAGGTTTTAATCTCAGCTCTTCTCCTCGCCCGGTCTAAAAGACTCCTCGCCCAACCCCAAGGTGCCCAACCTGGAGTGCCCCACCATATTCCCTGGAGTGCCCAACCCCAGAGTGTCCCTGGAGTGCCCAACCTTAAAGTGTCCCTGGAGTGCCCAACCTTAGAGAGTCCCTTGGAGTGTCCACTCCCAGAGTGTCCCTGGAGTGCCCAACCCCAAAGTATCTCTACCCAGAGAGGGTGGGGACGTTCGAAGTTAATTTTTTGTTTTGAGTTTGTTTGTTTTTGGTTTGTTTTCTTGGTTTGGCTTGCCTGATTTTGCTTTTATCTTCTTCTAGAGGCTTAGATTAATAGACCGTGCCCAGAACCTAGGAATACTGTGCTTTTTAGATACGTAGTGCCTGTACTAGACAAATACTGAACCAATAGGCGAGTGAACTAGCCTAGCTTTTGTCCGTTCCTAGAAGACCTATGGCAAAAATAGTGATTGTGCTCGGCAAGCTAGGCAAATACTGCAATTTTGCAGCAAAAGCTTTTTCTAAGCAATTGGTGGGGTTGCCTTCTCAAGCCCAAACAAAGACTTTTCTAAATGCATAGTGCGGCAAAAATTTAGAAGTACTACTATGTGAAAGAGGCTAGTGAAGTGTCCTAGCTTTATGTCTAAAACTCACAATTCGCATAGACAAGATTACAATTACACAGTTCTCCTAGACACGTAGAATTCTTACACAGAATACTTATGGTTAGTAGTAGGAACTGTCCTGTTAGTTGTTGTTGTTGGTTGTATGAGAGAAAAAGACCCTGTCCTGGCAATCCTGAAAGACACCCTACCCCCGTTTTGACCCGTGCAGCTGAGCACGCCAGCAGAACCAATCGCTGAGAGAAAGATAGTCGCACGCCCAGAAGCTAGGATGTTGTTTTGAATATCAATATGTATTTGTTTACTAAGCAGTAAAAACACAAGAAAACCACGACTTTTGCAGGGTGTTAACAGCAAGACTGCTGTACCTTCCCGGTTTTTTGGCTTTCGTAGTG